GTGAGAGATGAACAGTGAGAAAAGTTTAACATAGTTCACATGAAAAGCTTCTATCTACAGCTGATTATAAAATGATGATGAGATATTTTAGCTTCTTTTGTGTACAACAGGAGGAAATGGAGACATGTCGTCCATCTTTATTCTGAATGTGAGTGAGTGTCGGCCACATCACAGAGAATAATCTGCTTCCCTTTATCTGAACTGATGAATATTTCATTGATGATGATGTGAATGAGGTCGTGCACTGACAAACCCACAGGAAGCTTTTTGTGTGTCTGAGTTGTTAAAGCCCAGAGGAGAAGTGTTATCTCCGTGTGATTTCACTCGTTCATCAGCAGAACAGCGTCTTGCTCCTGATCACTGACCTCAGTAAAGGGTTAGGTGTGATGTTTACCTGCTTTGTCGAAATCCCTCAGCGCGTCGAACTGATCGAAAATCTCCAATCGTTTCCTGATCAACTCCGAAGCGTTGGACCAACGTGACATCTTTTGCGGCAGGAAGACATGGATGAGCTTCTTGCGGATCGCCTTGGTCTGTCCCAGGAGCCACAAAGGGATTTGACCCACGAGGAGGGGAAACTTAGTGTCGTACTTTACAAAGTTCTCCATTATCACTTCCATCCCGCTGTGGCGGCTGGCGGACGGCGGGCTGCCATACATGGTGAGGAGCGAGGATTCGAACATGACCGAGTTACAGAACTTGTATAAGCTGCTGCTCTTCCAGTTGCATTCCTCACCCGGCCTCTGTCCCAGGTAGTCCTGACGTAACACCAGCTGGAGGTTACCCAGCATGCTCTCTGTCAGAGGAGAAAGATTGTCTCCCTGGAGGAGGAGGAAGGCGCGGCTGACCTGCTCCTGCAGGCCGGGGAACTTCTTGGGGTCCAAGAGTGGGTAACCAAAGGCATACGAGCCCAACTGGTTGGAGAACTCATGGAAGTCCAGGTGTCGGCCATATTTGACGATGTTTGGAATCAGTAGCGGGTTCAGGATGAAGGTCATGTACTTACCTGCAGGGGAGAGGACATCTGATCAACACTTTAAACACTGGTGAGGTCCAGCCTGTCATCATGAGGCTCTGGTGAAACCCAACCAAACCTGAGACAAAACCAACCGAGTCTGACTCCAACCGGACAGACGTTCTGTTCCCTGTGTCTGAACCCCAGGTTTTCCCTGGTTACAGCCATGAGCAGCCTAAAAGAATCAAGAAGACGAATCTGACCTGAACACCAATATCACTTCAACATTTTTGTCTGGACCTTCCAGGTTCCTTCTACCAACCAGCTCCTGTGCTCACTACGGTGTTTGCTGGTTGGATCATTTGTCCGTGGGCGGAGTCAGACTGGGTGAAGTTTTGGTATCGGCTGAGGTGAAGGAAGGAGTTTAAATACTGACCGGCTATCTGCACTGTGAAAATGTCTCCATGTTTCTTCTGATGTTCAAGAAGAAATTTGAAGGAATTTTGTCCAAACTCAAAAGCTTTTCCAACGAAGGGGATCCAGCCTTTAATCAGAGGAGGTTCACCGACTCGCCTGCAAGAGAGAAACCTTCGATTAGCACTGACTGGTCCCTGACTACAGTTGGTATTAACATGGTTTCTACATGTGTCTCTCATCCTCCATGTTTTATTCGTCTGTGAACAGCTGCTTCTGTCCAGTATCAACCAATCAGCATTTGTATTCACATGTTTTATTTGTATTAAGGTGTATTCACATGTTTTATATGTATTA